CAGACAGCATCGCCTGGAGTCAGAGGGAGGTGGTTCCCTATAGACAGCAGCTGGACCAGCAGCAAGAAGGAAGAAAGACAGGGAACTTACTTGTTTAAATGCAGATGGTGAAGCTACCTTTATCCTCTTCCTGAGCCTTCGCCCTGTGTTTCCCACACTGCTTAGGGGATCAACAACGCAATGGTCGTCAGAAAAGACATGGTGCATTTTTCATAGAAAAATGATGTCATGACTTTCCCGACAACCTATTAGAACCTCTCCCTACGTCGTGCTATAAACCTGTCGGCTGTGCTATAAGCTTGTTCTTCCAGTGATGAGGTGACCTTCAGATGTCAACACAAAATAATTTTCCTTGCACAAACATTGCTAGCAGAGCTGAGAGTCAGCGGTCTATTCATTGTTATAATGAGGAAATACAGAGGTTCCCTGTACTTCCTTGATTGTTTGGAAATATTCTTTTTGACAACAGTGAAAGATTCTATTCATTGATGTGGCTAAAAACCATAGTCAAGACATTTCTCATGCTATTCTGCCAGGGAACCAATATAGAAAATTTTCAAATGTCGTGAAACAGAGAAACCAAATTTTTGACCAAGTTGACTGATATTTCTATATCAAATAGATACGACTTTGGCTGGTGCAAATATAATTCTAGGCAGAATTGGCTTCTTTCCATTCGGAATATGTTTTCTGACTCACATTTTCCATTAATATTAAAAGTTCTTCCCTGTTTTTAATCTAAGAACTGGCTAAGAAAGGAAGAGACATAGATGCACTCAAAACTTTTTTTCTTAGATGTTTTTCTATAATTTGAACATAGCAAAGAACACGTATTATTTCCCACAGATTACGATTGAGTAATTTGGGGCTCTTTTCTTAAATGACTTTTATTCCAAAACACTGAATTTAGGAGGTTCCCCCTCACGCACTGATCTATCATTTTAGAACTGTTTTCATTAGCAGAGGAATATTAACCTCAACCTTGTGCCCTTATGAAGTAGGCTGGAAATATGGTGTGTGTTATTTCTCTGACACAATATAGATTCACTTTGAGAGAAGTCACCAATCTAATATATACTTCCAAAAAGAAAAAGAGAAAAACAAGTAGAGCAGATATCGAAAGTGCACAACATGACGCAGTGTTCTTTGTTGGGATGGTGTGTTTATATCCTCGGTTTGATGATCACATCTGCGTGTTTCGAAAAACCATGCTGCACCCCACGAGGCTGTACAATGAGCTATAGCTCAGAAATTATAATGAGAAAAGCGGAAAGAGGGTACATACAGGAAAACTACTTCAGCCTTAAATGACTTGCAGTCTACTTTTTGGCTCATACAAGAGGACTTCAAAAAGTTCGTGGAAAACTGGAATTACAGTATGCATTCCTTTGGATGTAAAGATGTTTTGAAATCCATGAACAGTTTTTTCACAGCACTCATTTTCATGAATTTTTGAAGACCCCTCAGATGGCCAATCAGAGAACGCCCATTGGGGCAGGAGGACAGGAGGGGCCCACAATTTTGCCCATGGAGGCTCTGTCTTTTTGCAGTGCTTGGAGCAGCAGCAGCTGGCACGGGCGGATCAAAGGAGGAATGAAGGGATTCCAGAGCTTCATGGTCTCAGACAGTAACATGAGCTTCGTTGAGTTCGTCGAGCTGTTCAAATCATTCAGGTACAGCATATGCTTCCTTCCTGCCGTTCCTCAGGCCGCATCTTCGTAACAGTGCTGAATGTGAGGCGTTTGCCATTTCTCCTCAGCGTCAGGAGCCGCAAGGACCTGAAGGATCTCTTTGACATCTACGCGGTACCCTGCAACCGATCTGGCTCCGAGTCTACCCCACTCTACACCAATCTGACAATTGACGAAAACACCAGTGATCTTCAGCCTGACCTCGGTTTGTATGACATTTTATGATTTCCCTTTGAGACCCTTCCATCTAAAACTGAAGGCCAGCAATCCAGTCAGTCACACCCACTCTCAGTTGTCCCGTAGGGCACACTGTGAAACACTTCATTATTTCCTGGTGTCATGGCAGCAGGTGCTCTTGCCATGTTGGGGCAAGGAAATTCATCGCTGTGTGGTTCTACCCTTGCGTTCCAGGATTTTTAAGTAACAGTGACTTCCAGTCATTCAGAAAAACTTTTCCTGACTATTCCCAACTATAGGTATATGATGTGTCACATCTGAGTTTCTTCCCAGGGCAGAGCTTAGACAAGGAGAGTCTCTACTGACCTCCACAGAGTTCTCCTGTTGAGTATCTGGGACATTTTCCTTGCTGTGTGAACCAGAATGTCTCATTCTTTTCTCCCCTCCCTCCAGCCCCGTTGCCATCACCACCACCACCACCCATTCATTTTAAGCCTATTATTGTTCTTCACCAGTCTTGCTGGAAAATATAAGCACAAAAAAGCAAAACCAAGAAACTTTCCTCTTTCATGCAGTTGCTTTGTAATTATTTATAAGCTTAGGTTGTTCTTAAGCTAAGAAATTAACTGCTGTTCAACTTTACACATATAATGTGCATAACTATGGACTAGCCAGATAGTTACACTTTTTTTTTTTTTTAAGACTTGCTACCTGGTAAGCTGAGGTTTCATAGGAGGCCCGGGTTCAATTCCCTGGCCACCATAAAATTGGGGCGCAGTGGTACAGTGGTGAACTCCTATAGTCCCAGCTACTAAAGACCTGAGGCAGGGGGATCACAAAACAGCAAGAACCTGTCTAAAACACCACACATACACACACACACACACACACACACACACACACACACACACAAAACTTTTTTTTTTTAATTTGCCAGAAGGCACATGTACTTGTAGGAGGAGACAATGAAAGAGAGGGAAAGTAAGAAAACACCCCTCATGTGACATGGTCATGCAGCAATCCCTTCTCCACTTCTCTCTCCTTTCAGGATTCTGGATATGCATGCACACACACCCAGGTCAGGAACATGAACCGTAGGGCTGACAATGTGGGATCTACCCACCTTAACCACCAAGCCCCAGAGCAATTTTGAATTACAGAACAATAAACGGAAAGCTCAGAGTTCTCAAAATATCTTCCCCCTGCAACACACACACAAACTTTCTACTATTAGAAATATGATGGTACTTCAAAAAGTTCATGGGAAAATGAAATTGAAGTATGAATTTATTTTAACGCAAAAAAAAAAACCACATTAAAATCCAGGCATAATTTTTTGAGAGGTTTTTGCCTTAGGGAATCTGC